CTTTTTCTGAATGAAAGTACCGGAATAAAATTCATTTGTATAATACCACTCCAGAGAATATGAGATGGTGCAAAATTATCGTTGACAAGTAGTACAAAAACAAAAATTATCAAAGACATTACACATTGGTTCCTTAACTTGTTCGTACAACAGTGATAATAATATATGTTATGATGTTGGCCATAAATAAGCCCGTGGGAAAGCAAGGTCTAAAGTGATGACTTATTTGCATTCGGATTTCCTGAAAGAGTACGCATAGTAAAATTGACTCTGGCCTCCGGTCCGACGAAAGACCGTAGGGAATGCAAAGCATCACGCATAGAGCGCACTTTCGAGCTGCGTAATGTAAACTTCTCCATGTATGTTAGTTGATGTTCAGGTGAAGAACAAGTGTCCCGGGCAGTAGATCAGATACCGGGACGTGTTGTCAAATGGCAAGCTGTGCGTTGTGCTGTGACTAGTGGCAGAGGTGGTGGGAGGTGATGCGCCTCAGGAGGCTAGTACGCGAAACGTGTCAGTGTACCACAATCACGGTGTATAACCTTTAGCCACTCCTCGAACTTCCGTTCGAACTCGTCGGTGCTCGACTGCTGTGCGGTCGGGAAGGCGATCATCGTGCTGAGGCAGTGGGTGGCGACGGAGGCGGTGGTGGCGGTGCCGGCGCCGGCGGCGGAGGTGGCACTGGCCGGAGGTAGCGACCGACGACCATGACTGTCGTGCTGGTCGTCGTCGTTCAGTGTTGAGGTCGTCGTTGAAGCCGGCTGCTGGGTGCGGCAAGACGGACTGGCAGACAGGAGGAAGAGGCGGTGCAGCGGCGAGCAGGCAGCTGCGACGACGACCGACGAAGACGAAGACGAAGACGAAGACGAAGAACAAGAAGGAAACCGAAAGTGAACAGGAGTACGCGACTACTGCTCTAGTGTCGGTCTCGGTCTCGTAGTAGTCGCAGTCGTAGTCGTAGTCGAAACCAATCGTCACCACGACCGCCTGCTTTATCGCCGTCGTACTCGTTGTTCCGCACTTTGCTCCTGGATACGTTGCGTCGCGAAGGGTCCTCAAAAAACTGGGACAGTCTCGCCGTGCCGGCAGCCAACGCTCGCTGCCCCCAGGCTATAGGTCGACTGTCCTCAACACAGTGAAAGTGATGTGGAAGCCCGCAGCCTGGCTGGCGCAAAAAGCGGAAAGTGTGGATTCGGTCCGATCGGGTCGGCTCGGCTCGGCTCGGCTCGGCTCGGCTCGGTCCGGCTGTCCGGCTGTCCTGGCCGAGTCGGCGGACCGGCTAAGGCCCCGATTCAGTCACGACATAGCCGTTGTTGCTTGCTTCAGTTCCGGGCGGGCGTTACTCAAACGACAATCGCTTTTCAGTTCGGTTCGGTTCGACCGACTCAAGCAACCAGGTTTTCGAAATGTAGGTTTGTCGGCGAAAGAAAATGGAAAGTGCCACGTTTCAGGACAGGGACCGGTTGTCGATGTCCGGTCGGCTGTTTGTCTTACAATTGGGCTAAACATTTCATTGGCATAATTGACACCGCGTTTGTGTCATTTGCGTACAAATGCTCTAGTCGATCACGTGCTGACCGGTCGGTCTCGTTTTGACTCATAACGCGGCCATAACACATAACAACGCAGAAGTGTCCTTGTTGCGCGCCGTCCACTTGGCGGTGATGACCGCACCCCGTGTTTACACAGCACCCTTGACCCATCAACGTCCGCCGCGCTACCCGGGCCGGACCCCACACCCAATTCGTGACCGCATCGAAATCCAGAACCGCTCGCGTTATGCTGGCTCGATGTCTCGCTCTGATACGATCGACTGTTTTCACTAGTTCTCTATTCGGCCCGTGAACATCTAGGTCTGACCCACATCGGTAATTGGATCAGGAGTGCCATTCGGGTGACACAGGTAATTGTGAAATTATTTTCCTTTCGTTGACAATTGCGAAAACGCTCGCCGTACCGCCATCCAGAAACGTCCTACCTAGCGACTGCCGCAACAACTGCACCAATTGCATGGACACAACAACACGTTGAGTCCAGTAGGTGGTCATCACTCATCGGTCAGTTCGTCAGTGACAGAACTGAACTCGTGTTTTGTACGAAATGCTCATCGTCGTTGTCACAAACACATCAGGCTTTCGCGGTTCTTCGTTAGGAACACCACAGGCAAACCTTACAACACCTTCATCAATTCCACCTAGTCAGTCTCCTTTCTTCTGTTAATCTGTCCTTGAATGAAATTAACATGGTAGCCTAAAGCTGTGAGCTGCTGGTGCCACTAATCTTCAGGAATCTACACGATCTCTGTTGTGGTACATCTTGTTTTTCGTTGAATCAAATCAAAGCATTATCATGAAGAGAAAGAACATGAGAGGTTCTGCATAACCCCCATCAAATCTAAGAAAAGGAAAAGCGGAAATCACGCTGTCTCAGTGCCTTCTAATCGCCGTCAGCAGGGGCTTCAAAACAACAGATGTTTTCTCTCCGAAGACAGTAGCCAGTGTAGAACATGTTATGAAAACTGTAGGAACGCCAGGACTCCTGTTGAAAAGAAACGCTTCAGACATTACTCTTCGTCTATGACTCAAGGAATAAGATTGTCCGTTCATACTGGAAAGACAAAACGAATGAAGAGTCTATATTGCCCTGAATGATCAACCAGTGGAGTTGGTAAAAAAAATACTCATATCACATGTAATCCTTAATAATGTCTAATGCTCAAGTCAGAAAAGATCCATGTGGACAGCTTTCGCCAGGCTTGAGGCAGGATCTCAGACACGAGGCTTCCCTCGTCATGTCAACGAGTTTTTTAAATCCGTGTATCCATCCCACGATGCTTGAAGTAAAGCGAAAATGCAACCCTGGCTGAAAAAGCAAAATGGCAGGTCATACAACTATCCATGAAATACGCACTAAGGCGCATCAACAAATGACAGCATGTTAAAAAGCGCTTTAAAGACGTAATCGAAGCCCTTTATGAAAGGAGAAAAACGTGTGTGTGTGTGTGTGTGTGTGTGTGTGTGTGTCTGGAAAATGGAAGACAATCGATGGACAGAACGGATACTCAACTGATACCCGTGAAACATCGATCGAATCCGTAGAATACGGTCGGTGTGTTGGGATGATACCTGTGCAAGACCTTGGCCAGCAGCCCAGGACGGAAAATTACGTAGTGACTACAGTCTGCCCAGATGGAGAGAATAAAACATATGGAATGATAGGCGTTCAGTTCCCACGCTTCAGCCCGCATTTCACGAACCATTTCTTCGAGATTGTTGCCGTCATTCAGTGAATCTTAATGTTCTACAGTAAATCTTCTCTGTCGCAGATGCTTCAATAAATCAATCAAGTTTATTCGCAGAAGTAACGGCAATTGCTATCGACATTACGACATTATTAAATCGCTTTATGAAGTGTTATAAACCGAAACTGTACAAAGCAGCTGACTCGGGTAGAACCACTCGCAGGAGTTACAAAATGCGCACGGGCGTTGAGTGTTGCCCATCGGTCAGCGACGGCTTTTATAGCCACTGTTGACACGATTCGTATGTCTTTGAATCTGATGACTACACGTGACTCTTTTGGGAAAATTAGCTCCTCGTCCCTAATTTCAGCAATATTTTCACACGGTCAAAACCATCTGTTTGGTTCTGGTACGAATGGCGCAGACAGCCGTATTCACTACGACGTCGTCCGTGATCGATCGTGTCCTAAAAGCATCCGGCAACGCATGAGATGAACCCAGTACGCCATTTCAACCAGGTCAGACATCAATTTTCTGGGCCATTTTCTGTAATTTCGCTTGAACTTTATTTAGCCATGAATAGCAGTGGAAATGACAGCATCATCTAACGGTGTATCACATAGAAATTTGATTTTTTTCCTAAGAACCCAACGACGGAAAGGCGAAATTGTTTGAAGCATTTCTGTATTCATATACAAAGGATTATTTGCATATCATCTATGGAAAAATTCGTTTTCAATATCGCAGACATTCTATCCAGAACTGAGTGAATTATTTCAAGTTTTAATTGGATCAAACTGTTCGCTAGTCTGTCATTGTGTCAAATGCAGGGTATTCCTACAAGTCTCAATGAAGTTCATTATTTCTGTTGATAACTGATGCCCTGCCACATAAAATAGTTTAAATTCCTCACATGGTTACCTTCAGTTTGCTGGCTAAAAAAATCGAAAGTAAAGCAGACCAACAAAGCAATAAAACCTGATAATATTAAAGATTGAGGCATGCTTCAATACGGTTCGATTCAACTAGCATAAAGACTGTATGAAAAAGTGCGATCATCAATCTATTTACTTACGTGTGCGGTCATTTTTACTGCCCAATTTAAACTTTATATGTTATCTATGCCCAGCAACCTGACATAAACTGTGGGCATTAAAACTGATTCAATGGATAAATGAACGGACTAGTGAATGGATAAAACGAGTCAATGAACGAATGAATTAACCATTAAATCAATAATTGCACGCATCGCATTGAGATAGGGCAATTTGCTCGTTCGATGGTGTTCATACTGAAATTGAAAACACGTAAAAACGGTTTATTTATAAGCAACGCAGACAAATAAGTTGACCAATCGAGTGAGTGACTTGTACCGAGGTTTCGCTCGTCTCCCATGAGCCCTCTTCAGAGTGGCCCGGATTAACACCTGTAGTCAGTTGTGCAGCTTGCAGCTGCTCAAACGTATAGAGTCAAGGGTGTGTTTTTGGCCCAAGCTTCCGATTAAGTACTTTTTGAGTCACGAACTTGATAAGGCTTGCAGAAACTGCGTTGAGCTCGTATTCTCTGTTCCGGCTGATATCATCTAATGTTTGCATGCACACATGAATGAATGAAGCAGCTTTCCTCATAGGTCGCTAATTCCTCAAATGTTCGTCACTGCAATCATCACTATCATTTTCGTTTCATTCTTTTTTATTTTCTTTTTCTTCATGTCTTCTTAGACTACATTTTGCAATTTCTTCATCGTTGTCCATTTTTAAGTATGTTCTTCTGCCCATTTCCATTATTTCTCCGTTTGCAATTCTATCAGAGCATTATCATCGGTTGTCCCCTCAAACGTGGAGTCGACGGGATCCACCGCAGTGCCGGACTGAGAAACTGAGCTCCGCCATCACTGTTATTCTCATAGAAATGAATAGCGAAATTATTTTTTTCGTCGTGTTCGTCATTTTTCATACAGAAGATGATTTTTTGGTAAGGCAAACCGTCATAGAACGCTATACCGGCTCGGTCTTCGTTCGTGTGACCGGGGGCCTAGAAGGCTGTTGGAAAACCGAGGTTGATTCCCACAAGTTAGCGATCAGACTCTGCTTCTTGCCATCTAGCAGCCAGTGCGCAGAAACAAGGTAACGGTGGCCGAAGACCAGCAAGAAGTAGAGAAAGATGCCACTCAGTAACGAAGTCGCTACCCGTCCAGAACGGAGGAGCAATGTCATTATACTACGTCAGACAAGGTTCCATCAGGAATGATAGCGACAATGAGAGTGCACAGTCAGAAACTGGAGCATCTTTTCACTCAGAGGAACAGAGCTGGAACTAGTTGATTAAGCTGCAAGGCACCAACTGCACATAGTTGGACTCTCATCAACAAAGAAGCTCTGAGATTCTGAATCTCTGCAAGTGGGAGCTGTTCTACTGATGCCTCCAGGACTAAAATGACTGGTGTTGATGCTCTGGCGCAACTCAGTCTAATTGACAGAATCATTAAATGGAAGCCTGTCAGGGAATGAACGGCAATTTTCCGATTGAAGCTACAGCAGAGTGAAGCTTTGACTCTGCCACATTTCTATGAAAGTAGCACAAAGAGCCAATATGAGTCTTCAGCAGGCCCTAGAACTTGCTCTGTACCATACGAAGTGCTGGTTATGGAATCCATTATTCTATCGGGCGATTTCAATGCGCATTTTGGAACAGACACCGTGAAATGGTCAAGCGTGATTTGAAGGAACAGCCTTATCGACCTCAAGAATGCGATGTGCAATCGTTGCGGTTTTCTGCAAACAACCAACTGTCTGTTATGAACTCCTTCTTCAAGCCTGGTAGCTGCTGCGTCAGAGTAAATAGCGTTAAGTCGAAACCATTCAGTGTTCGCACTGGTCTTCGCCAAGGCTGCGTCCTGTCCCCTATCCCGCTTGTTTGGTACATGGATAGAATAGTCAGGAGCTGCCAAAGCGATGAGAATATCGGTATAGGAGATGTTAAGTCGAGAAGATTGCTGTTTGCAGACGACCTTGTTTTATTATCGTCTTCTGAAACTGATCTCCAGTGCTCATCAGAAAGGTTCGCAGCCGAGTGCGACGTGACCCGCATGCGTGTGAACGCATCTAAAACAAAAAGCCTAGTGCTTTCTCGTT